GGGGGGGGGGGGCAAAGAGACCGGCCACACGTGTCCCGCTGCTGCTGACCATTCCAGGTGAAGTGGACACGGGAAGGGCCCGCTTAAAGGTCCTTCAAAAGAAAGAAGCTTGGAGGAGGGAGGCGCTGGGGATGGATGGGCGGCTGCTGGAGGGGCGGCGGGAGTCAGGGAGGTGGGGTGTGCGCCCCCAGGCCACGCGGAGCGCCCTTGCTCGGTGGAGGCACCAGTGACCGGGGCTTGCGCTTGCCTGCACCCCGCGGAGGGAGCGTCTGTCTGTCTGCGTGAGGAGCCCCTGCTCCCTGGAGCCTGGGGTGTGGTTGTGGGTTTTGCTGGAGGATGAAACTGATTCTCCAGCTTCCCCGGGGCAGAGGCGGGCGAGAGGCTGGTGCCGCTGGCCTCTTGTCCGCTGTGTTTGGACAAGGCCAGCTCCACCATGGCAACAAAGCTAAACCCACGCTCCGGCTTCCGACCTCAAGGGCTCTTCCTCCCTGGGCAGCTGCCGCCCTGTCCCGAGCCGCGGCGTCCTCTGCAGGGCGCGGGGAAGGATCGAGGGGCTGGGGTGCCTTCTGACAGGTTGGGGAACTGAGGCCAGGCCGCCGGGGTCAGCCACGGGGCAGGGGCCGAGCTGAGGAGGGTGTCGGAGTGGGGTCCAGGGCCCTCCCTGTGCCCTCTTTCCACCTCCCTCGGTGGGTGGCCCTGCCCGACCATCCGTCAGTGCTGGGCACACCTGTGAGCCAGGCTGCTCCAGGACAGAGGCGGTGGCCGAGCCCTGAGAGCTGGACGGCCCTGACAGTTCCCATGATGGCCCTGCCAGGTGCCGGCTCCCTGTCACCTCCCAGAGCTGGCTGGGTGGCCTGTGGCCCTGGACACCCGGCTCTGCACCCACCGGGCACCCAGCGGCTGTAGTGCTGGGTCTGCCTGTCTTAAGGACTGTCAGGGCTGGGTGGGGTTGCCTGGGTCCTCCGCGCTGGCAGAGCCCGGCCTCGGGCCGGATTAGCTGGACCTTTGTCTGCCTGGTCAGTGGAGGATTAGGGTCTGGGGCGGCCGAGGAGACCTCAGGGAGTGTGGGGTGCAGGGGCCTGCTTGCCTGCCGCTCTCCACATGCCCCAGAGCTGCCCAGCATGCGGGTGGCTCCTTCTAGGCTTGGCTGCCCCAGGACTGCCCTTGTCTGGGTCTTAGCTGGTGTGGCCTTGGCTGGGCCTTGTGTGAGGTTAGCGGGCAGATGGGCAGGTCTTCCCTGGGCCAGCCCTTCTCTCCAGGCCAGGTCAGGCTTGAGGAGGGCAGCGGGCTCAGGTCAGCCCAGCCTCCAGGGGCAGAATGCAGGGATGGAGGTGCCCTGGGCAATGGGCGCCCCCCACTGGGAAAGGGGAAATGGGGGCCTGGTCCTTGGGGATGGCAGCCACACAGCCAGGGGCCTGGAGCTGGGCCAGGGAGGCAGGGAGTGCCAGACCCAGGGACCCGCATGATCCAGCCGGTGCTGGGAGTCGCAGCCGAAAGGGGCCCTGTGTGCCCCAGNGCCCCCCACTGGGAAAGGGGAAATGGGGGCCTGGTCCTTGGGGATGGCAGGCGCACAGCCAGGGGCCCGGAGCTGGGCCAGGGAGGCAGGGAGTGCCAGACCCAGGGACCCGCATGATCCAGCCGGTGCTGGGAGTCGCAGCCGAAAGGGGCCCTGTGTGCCCCAGGTCATCCCTGGGCCCCCACTTGGCCCCAACCTTCAGCCCACAGGGGGCTAGCACTGGGGGGCAAGGTGCTCCCACCCAACCTCCAGGTCCCCCAGAGCTCCCCGTGGGCAGCACAGAGTGGGGGTGACAGTGGGAAGCTCAGACTGGGATGGAGAGTGGACAACAGCCTTGGGCGTCCAGCGTGGAGGAGACTGTGGGGAGACTGCCCTGAGCAGGGCCTGGGGGTGCGCCCCAGAGGGTGGTGCCGTGAGGACCCTCACCTCAGGCCCTATGGCTGTGTTCTTTGGGTTTCCGGGGGGCCCCCTGCATGTCCTGCTTGTCATGGTCTGGGGCCTCAAATGGCACTGCTGCTCAGTCCCCTCCTGGTTCCCAGCTAGGCGTCCCCTTGGCCTAAATCCTCTGGCCAGCTGGGCTGGAGCCCGGCTTGGATTAGTGCAGGGGATCGGCAGAGGG